TTTTTTTTTTTGCAGTGGTAATGTCTTTTAGGACATTGGTTGTATTTATGATCAGTTTTCTACCTTTGAAATGTATGCTTTGTTTATTTTGTAGTTGAATATTAAACTATATTTTCTTATGCATTTCAGATGCCTTCCTTCACCAAATCCACACAGCTACATCCAAGCTGAAAGCACTGGTTGATGGTGTAAACAATATAGTAGATGTGAAAGTTCAGACAACCATTGATAAAGTTAATGGCATGTTCCTATTTGACTATGATTTGGCTTTCTCTAAGTCTTGGGTAAGTTTTATTTATAATTTTTATAATGTCTTGTTAAAATTTAGTCACCAAGTTATTATGCATTTTACGAAAGGTTTTAGTCTCAGTGCTCTTTGGTCTGATTATTTGTGAGCCAAGAGAAAAGAACAAAGAAGGTGATAAACATTTTAATACTATGTGTATGGTAATATACACATTGGTAAAATATGTGATCTTTCTCAAGTGTGGTGACAATAAGTTCCATTCAGTTCCAAGTCTTTTGGTTATGAAATTGCAAGTCACATGTTTGATAAAACATGGTAATTTTGAATTACTCTAAGTTAAGGCTAAGGGTCCTCCCTATTCTCTAAGTTTTTGATTGTCCTTTCTAGCCTCCCCAAGAATTCATAGAAGTCATTGTGCAAAGTGTCAAAGACAAGGCCAGGGAAATGTATGGCCATGTGAGCACCATTGAGAGGGGCATGCATGAGATTGTTACCATGCTGACCAATAGAAAGGTAGGAGTGGTCGTATACCTTCTTTTTATTGTGAAATACTTTACTGTTGATGTTAAGGACTATAAAAAAAAAGAATACAGTAATATACTATCCTGTTCTTGTTGAAAGATACTTCATGTTTTACTCTTTTAGTGGTTAAAGTTGATGTGATTTGTACCCCATTTTTGCTGCTGAAAATTAACTAAACCTTTTTTCAGGTTCTGCACAAACACTTACATAAAGATATTCAGACCATTTTAAGTTTCACAAGGATCTTTTCATTATCTTTCCTATCAGCTTAGTATGCATTAACACATTTGCTTTTCTTTCATCTCTGATAATTCCTTTTAAGCACATTGTAGTTTGCCTTTAAAAGTCTTCAAGAATTCACCTATTCAAAAACAAAACACACATTAATACTTTCAGGATGGACCCCAGGCTCCAAAGCCTCCCTCAAAAGTTTCTTCGAAATTGTCCAACAAAGGGAAAAAGCTAACAAAGGTTTATAATCGATTTGAATGCATGCTTTCCATTGAGTTTGAATCTGAAATTACTGCCTTTTTGAGCATTTCTGATGTGGATTGTGTGTAAGGCAACATTGGCACACACTGTTTTGAATCTTATGCAAAATTTTTAAGGAGTTTGGACTTACTTAGAGACATGAAACAGGTTAAACTTCATCATTTGACATCAACAGACAACCAGTTTGCCATATGTGGAGTTTTATATTCCATGTATGAGGTCCTTGATTTGTACTGTTGGTCATGCAGAAATGTATCAGACTTGTTGCAGAAAGTGCGCAGAAGCTTGTGCCAATGTTACCATTTATTAAACCTGATGTTGAATTTTGAAATGAAAATATAATAACTGTATGAGAAAAGGTAAGTGATGTGATTGATCATTTGATTTTGTTTTGTCTGAACTTATCCTCATAATGATGAACCTGCATGTGATTGGATTACAGTGTGTGGATTGATTAAAAACAGATGCAGAAACTTAGTAATACACATCTGACAACTTTTCTTATTACCCCTTTACATCTGCAATGCACAAATCTTTTACTAACCAGCATTTCAGGAATCTGTTATTTTTCAATTTTTT